GACGGCCCGAAGTCTCATGAAACTTCGCTTACTGCAAATTGTCGGGGTCAGCTTTCATTTAAATCGTGCAATGTTTTTTCAAGACGACGGCGTTTTTCTTGCAGCAAGAAAATTACGCCATTCTGGCAAAAGTAAATTTGTTCTCTCGAGACCTCACGCGGGCCAGGAGCATGGCCAATGAACGTTGCGTTGCAGGCGGCGAGGAATTTTTTTTTTGTTCTTGTGTAATGCTGTAAAGTATTTTGATCTTTCACATAGTATCTGAAATTTGCATTTTATATGTCTATAAAATGGACTACTTTATAAATGTTTTTTTTCTTTTAGAGTATTTTGTAGGTGGTTGTCTTTATTGGAGACACTGGGGCATTTAATGAAAAAATATCTCTAAATTATCTTTTTAAATATTTTCATCTCATTACATTTCGATTTCTTGACGAGTTCATTACGATTTCAATTGCATTTAGTGAAATAAAGGCTACTTCTGAACTTTTTCAAATAAAACTTAAAACTCATTTCTTATTTACATACACTGACTTTAAAAATCTCTCCGCCCAATACATTTGAAGAAATTGCCTCCTAAGGTGACTTGTTGAACAACTGTTGTCTAGGAAACAAACTTCGCAGTACATGAAGTGTTGATCTAGGCTGTTATTTACAGCACCAAATCTAAATCAAATGACCCTAAATGTTTGCCTGTTTAAACTTCAGCATCTCAAACATTACTTCCATTTTGACATACGTAAATATTTACATAAACTTTGTTTAGTTAATTGTTCATCATAAATGATGTATAAAATTATTCCAAAAAACGACAGCGGAACAAATATATATTTAAATAATTCTAAAATAATAAAACGTTTAAATTTTCAGGTTTTTCCTCCCCTTCTTACATCCCATATTCTGTAAACAACTTGCAATCAATGAGAAATACACGAGACGTAAGTATCGCGTTCATTAACGTACTTTGTCCTTCCTTGATTACACCAATCTCACCTAATATCAAAATGTAATTTTACGAAACTGTTTTTCACGAATCCTTCAGATGTCGATCTTAATGAAATCGGTTATCTCCAATTTTAATTAAATTTGAATCCCGTGAGATGCCGTCTGATTAAATATGTTTGCGATTCCTGCTTGTGCTTTATCCTTTTGACAGATTCTAATATTTACTTGTCTAGTGATCATTTAAAGGCCATTGATAAGAGTATAATATAGTCCTTGCACAAAAATAGCATTACAATTTTGTTTAATGAATAAATAATTCATTGGAGTCAGGTTAACGGGGCTACATCACAAGGATCAAAACGAAAGTAAAACACATGTGAAATAAACAATTTAGAAAATTGTACGAATATATTTTCACCAGCAAAACTTTCATAAATATAAATCACAAGACAAACCGGTTTATACAGTAAACACTCAGGTTTAAACCGATCTCCTGCACAATAATATTTGATAAGCGTTCGACAATATCACGACGTGATTCCAATTTTCATACGACGTTGGTAGTAAGAAAAAACGGTTGTCTCGTTTGTACTGAAGCGTTTCGAATGGAAATTAAAATTGATATTCTTAAGGTACATCTTCAAGTATCAGTAACGAAGTGTAGTATTCATACCGAAGCACAGGCGTACATACTGCTTCAATGAACATTGAGCTATTACTATTATTCCAAAATATGGCTTTTAACGCTTCATTGATGCCGTTGCTTTTCATCTCGTCATCTATCACTTCAATAATATCAATTCGTATAGTAACTTAAAAGACAATCAGCCATAATTTTCTCGAACGGCTGGCTCATCCATTCTGTCAAAAACGCAGACAATAAGAGCAAGTTAGAAGAAACTTCCCAAATTTATAATCCACAGATACACTCATAATATTAATATCAATCAATATAACCAACAAACAATAAAAACTAATCACCGGAGGGGAAGGTAACAGAATTTCAGAAAAATAAAATTCCTTAACTTTAACTCAAGTCCAATTATTATTAACAACCTTTGACAAGTGCAATGAAACTACTCAAACAAATAAAAAAGTCTTACCCAGATGTAGACACCTGAAATATTGTGAAACAAACTTTCTTAAAATCAAACATTGAATAAATCATTCCAAATTGTGACTGCAAGACTGATGTCCAGATGTAGAAAAGTCAAAACGGTACCTCACCGAACTATCAAGAGACGCCGCTATTTTTAAGTCAGTCCACCGTCACTTCACGCTTCCCAGCTAACGCTAGCATGGATTCGAGTTGCTGTACTAATGTAAATTGGGCAACAAAATCATATGCTATTTATAAAATACTAGGGACATGTAGCAGTAAAACCAGCTCACATATTGAGCTCCGTTTTGAAGGAAATATATATTTTCGGTATCGGTTCCATCTTGTATATTTTGGATGAGAAAGAGGGTTAGAAATTAAAGAAACATTTAGAGTCCGTATTGAGATAATTTGGAACATGTCCCTCGGGCTTCATGTAATTACCAGCAAAGTTAAAATACTCGTTTGAAATTGGCACGGCCTCGAGTGTGGTTGAATCGATCGGGGAGTATCCACGTTGAATCGTATCTGAAGGATTAAGCGTTAGCCTTATCGACAGAAAGACAGACGAAAAAAATACTTTTTCGGTATCAGGGACCTTGAACCGTGGATTATGTTTGTACTGCATTGACTACGGATAGGAGCAAAAAATCCACTTTTGGGATCCATAAACCGTATTTTTCTGTAAAAATTTGGCACTTTTTCCTGTATTACGACATTTTCTATTCAACACAACGTGAACGAATTCGAACGAACGACATTGGAACACAATTTTCTGTGAGATTATTAGTTATGTAGACATACGAAAAAAAACGTCGCCAAAGCACATTCAAACCCCCGCCCCTGACAGCTCCACATGTCAGTATTTTTAGTATGTTATGCCAACAATCATGCCAAGCTTCAAAAGTCGGGGATTTTCTTCACTATTTTGTCCCATTTGACTGGGCTACAATCTTAAGTCGCCAGAAACTTAGCCTTGCAGCCGTCCGAATTTCCATCGCTCGACGTGAATCCCTTCCGAGTCTGCAACAGCGCTTTGAGTCATGGAAATGCGCACAAAGTTCCGGAGACATTCAAGTTGCGTTGATATTGCAAAATTGCGAAAACAATTTTAATTCTGAATAATGGTAGCAAACGATATATAATTTTCGTTTTAGATCTCTTTATCGCGTCTATCAAATTCTCATAAATACTCATTCATACGGGAAATCGAGTATTCCCTAATGTAAAATTACAGTATCAAATATCGCCATATATAATTTATTGAGGTATTTCACCCTCTGAACGCTTACTTCGTGGCCGCCGTTACCATTACGAGTTCCCCTCCCCGCATACAGATCGAATTAAATCTTCGCCCGGAAACCTTCGAGTGATGTTGATACAGAAAAGAGGACGCGTCTGATTGTTTATTTCGCGTTTCCGTGCGCGCCAATGGCTACGGTCATTAGTCCCATAAGTGCAGTGGATGTTTTATCAAGGAAGATGGTGGTGGTGGTGGTGGTGTTATTGCGGCTAGACAAGCTCTAAGCTCTCGGCTGGCCTCCCGGCATGTGTGACAGTGGAGTACATGCCGATCAGAACAGCCGGCAGCTACAATTCTCCTCCAGACAGCGGCTAAATTCGACTTGTCTATAGGGCTAGTGTCGAAAATTCTGCCATGTGAGGACTGGAACCCTAGGACCTCCCTATCAGAGGCACTGCAATGCCATCAGTTGATGCTCTGACCCACCTCAGCCGGTCCGATGACACGAGAAAAGGTGTTCAATGGAAACCTTGAAAATGGTCTTGAACCGCCTAAATGAATTGTCCTAATTATCCCATGCTCCCATGCCCTCGGTGGACCGTTGATTAGCGTGATTGCTTTCCACGGCTCAACCTCGGGTTTGATTCCCGGTTGGGGCAAAAATTAACTGTGCGCTTTCCTTGCAACGTCCCAGTATCTGTTGCTGTGTGACGATGAGAAAGCTCACTTCTGAGGTTGGGATTATCAGGAGATGGCGTAGGGATGGCTATGTGGCAACCACACGTACCCCATAACCGATGGTCGCAAGGGCGGAACGCCCCTGGTAGGCCTTAGCTCATAAAAGAGCTGTTGGGCCAAAGTGCATCCAGGCATCCAAATACATACATCCTATACTCACGAATTCACGAATAATTATTGTCACAATGACGAGACATTAAAATCTGTTAATATCAAATTCAATTTCAAATTCAGAGAAGTTATGTTTTACCCAAACGCTCAATAATCTTCCCTTAATGTTGAACGGCGAACACAAATCCGTTCGCAGCAATTAACGACTGATTAGAAAATGTCTTGACTGAAATCCGAACATTCCAGAAAAAGTAGAGAAACCACTCTTCACTTCATAATAAATCTGTGATAAGTAAAATCTTTTTGTCTTAAATGTCCTCACGATGGCTCAGAGAAACATAGAATAGCCTTGATTTTATAACGCAAGGTCAGTGAATTTACACAATCCAATACAGATTTTATTAAACATTTAATCATTTAATGAATGTATTTTTAATTATTGTTGTTTAACTTTTTGAATTTAAATAGCTTACAAATTATGAGAATACTGATTCCAATGAATCAACCAAACCTGAATTAATGCATCCAATTTATGATTTTGTACTATTTTAAATGGTTCCTCAGAGAATACATGTATACTCTCCACAGACTTAATTCAATGGCCTACGAGTATTTAAGCATGTCGATCCCATGAAAGATAATTGACAATAAACTGGAACCGGGGAAACGTTGAAAGGGAACAACTCTTAACAGACATGTTAATTTAAAGGTCATCAGTTCGTAGTTGGTAAAACCATCCCTATGAACATAATAAATAACGTTGGTTAACCGCCCCGCCCTGTATTCTTGTGTGTTGTTTGCCTAGCGTGTGTGGTTCCAGCGTGCAGGCGCATGATGGCCGCCGGGCCGTCGTTTGCCCCACAGAGAGGCGTGGCTGGGAGACCCAATGGGAGGTGGTAATGTGCGCGGCGCGTGCGGCAGGCTGCTGGTGGCGTACAAGAGCATCCTGAGCGCAGTGGAGCACCTGAGCGCGGCGTCCGTGTACGGCCTGGGCTACTTCAGCGCGGGCCACCTGCCGCCGTCGGCCTTCGCGCAGTTCGTGTACCACGACTCGCTGGGCAGGGACTACCTGGCCGCCACGCGCCAGTTCACACGCGCCGCCGCGCGCGGCCCCGCCCGCGCCCTCGCGCTCGCCCTGCCCC